GGTACTTCAGAGACCAGTTACAGCAATAAACGTTATGAGCTTTGTTTGTTTTAGTGCGCTTTGAATTTGGAAGTAAAATAAATCCTACATGGCACTTTTCATAACCAGCAAGGTCAAGGGCATTTTTAAACATTTTGTAAGTAACACATCTTTTCCCTTTATCAATCATTTTTGAATTTTCAAGAGGAAAAGTTGGAACTTTTAAATTTCGAGTAAGTTTGGTTGACAGTATTGATTTACAATGTCTTATGTTTGACTAAGCTTCACTTAAATGTTTTCATCACAGATTATGAAATTGTCATTTTATAGCATTCCACTCAAGTTGTTCATCTGGTGCTTTTTCATATCAAGAGATCCTTATGATTGGTATCAATAAAACTTTCCATTGATTGTGTCATTTTGTCAGATCTTGTCCAACACAAGCAATAATACATATTTTTGAGATTTCAAAAAAAATTTGTTATGATGGTGTGAGTTTCAGCCTTTTTAGTTTTTCTAAATGTGGGTGTATGTGCTTGGTGTGGTTTTCAAGTGGAGGTTTTGGCCAACGAAAAAGTATAACTATGCTTCTGATCCACCTTATGATCTACTTTGCCTCAACTTCTTTATGGTAATTTTTAAAGTGTAATAATGTTATTTCAAAGAAATGTGCTTTTTTGAGTTCAAAATTGTGAATTACCACTTAGAAGTTTTTAATTACATTTATAGAGATTTGTATTGTTTCAGTAAAAAGTAGCTTTTAGAAAGTCAAATTTTTCCAAAATGTAGAATCTCTTTTATATACAAAGCGCAGGTTATGAGTGAGAGCTTTTCAGTCAAATATTAATGCTCCTGGATCATTAGGGACCACATTTTTAAATTGCATTTTTTATTTTGTGCATTTCTTCTTTCAAAAGTGAGTATAAACGTGTAGCTTTTAGGATTGTGGAACAGATGGCGGATCCGACCAACCGTTTCCATAACTATCCAATGGGTAGGCGGGTTCACCATGTTTAGGAATATCCAAGCCTAGGGCAAACAAAACACAAGTATTTGGTTTATGAATGTTGTTCAACAAATTATGTAATTTATCCCTTTGAAGACCTTTAAAAATGTCATTAATGTTATTGACATATCGCCCCTGTAGATGTCACAGGTATATTACATGTGTCTGGCAGACCTTCAAAAAGCAAAGCCACTAATAAATTAAATAGTTCCTGACTTAAATGGTAAACAAGAGGTGCTTAAGGTTTCTAGCTCATGTAGAGTGTCAGCCTGTTGGTATACCTATATATTGTGTTAGCATGAGACACCATCCAAGAATTGATGAATTAATGTATCTGGTACAGATTATTACCTATCTCCTCAATTTCTGGACTGACACGAAGCTGCTTTGTGACGCGCAATACAAGAAACAAGGGTAAACTTAATGATGCAGACCAGGCCATTATGGCAAGCACTCCCATCACGTTCCAGCCAAACAAATAGAATGAATATGCACTTCCATCATAAAATATTCCAGATTCCTTATTGAAGATGGGAACAGATAGCACACCCCAGAAACCACCACCTAGATGAACTGTGCAAAACAATCAAACAAGGTTACTGGTGAAATGTTGAGTTCTATTTAAAAGTACAGGTAAACCAGCTTATTTAATTGATTTTGCGTGTGATTGACCCACAATACTGGCAACACCATCTTGAAAAACCAATCTCCCTTTGATCCACTTCCTCACCCTTGCCTGTACCTCAGACCGTTTACATGTTTTACTCAAAGTTTCCTTGTAATGGATTCATTTGTCCAAATGGCTGTGGTTTTGGTTTTGGTTTTACAGCGGCCGATTTCTGGATTGAAATCAGTAGATACGATGCTCTTACGGTGGCTGAACACAGTTTTTGATACCTTTGTTTCAGTTTACCATTTTCTCTAAAAATCCTTGATCTCTTGGTCGCCAAAATTGGCACCAAGCAAGTTAACAACACAAACTTTGTTTTCTCGATAGATAAGCTGACGTGTGTGCTGTTGCTATGGCGACATAAAGAGATATAAATAAGCAATTAAAATCGATTTTGTTTCTTTGTAGAAAATCTAGTCATTAGATTTTCTTTATAATTTGCATGCAGTGAGCATGTAACAATACTCACAAGTTAACATCATTTTGCTAACAATTTAACAGGAAGATCTTTTATTATCCTGTGTTGAAGGTTCCCTCGATTTTCTAGAATTTCCTTTGTTTAAAATCAATTTTTTTTAATACTCCAGTTACTTATTTCCTAAAGTATTTTTGTGCCAAATTTTGTGAAATTCTAATGAGTGGTTCTCAAGAAATAGGCATATTTCCAAGAAAGAAATTTTCCATTCAATCACAATTTTTTTACTACACATGCGCTGCATTTATCTAGTTTCTTTCAGTGATGATGAAAAAGCTGAGAATTGCTGGGTTCTTTGCACCATTAACTTTTCTAACATATCTTTGTAATAAAAGATTACAGCCCTCTATACACTGTGCCAACTATAGGGGAAAATAGCACAGATAGTGCGGGTACATGTTGAGTAAATGAAATGACCGCTCTGTTGACGGCATGTTTGTTTTTTTTTTGCAATCCTTGTGCGTGTGCTGAATTGCATCAGCAAAAGCATGTGCAAAAACTGTGTTCAGCCACCTTAATAAGAACTTGACTGGAAAACAGAACATGGGTATAGAAATAAGATAAAGGTAGATCAGTGTTTGTGCAACTCACCAGCCACAGCTTCCAGTGGATCATCAATTTTAAAATAAAGAATGAGAGTACTCCATCCAACATAGGCCACTCCAGCAATGATGCCAATAGCAAAAGCAGCATAAGGATAAATGGCATTACAACCTGCACACAAAGCCACCTGATGAACAAATGCAGCAAAAGTTGTCATTTGTTATGAAATTGAGGTTTTAACATCTAATCAAAATGGAAAGCCAGTCACAATGGGCATGATCCACCCATCTGAAACAGCATGGTCACATTCAATAACACAAGTAAAAAGATTTCCAGATATGGATTGCTATTTGTTGAGTGATCTGAGATACAATGTGACTCTTTTTGGACTTAAGGAAGTTGAAACAACAGATGGCATTTAGTTCGAATTGCAACCAACAACTAGCTGACACAAACCCTTTCTGATCAAGTACATGCTTTGAATCAACTAGTTTATTGGGGAAAAGGTACCTAAGCTTGAATTCCACATATTTAACCATCTTTACTGATCTAAAAGTAACAAATTGGTACTTGAAATTGCACGAAGAAGAATTTTATTTGATAGCAATTTCACATGTAAAGGGTACGTATATGAATGCAATGATTATTAGAAACAATCTCTTTTAGGGGCTTCATAGGGATGGTCCTCTTTAATACTCAAAGCCTACTCATATCCAAAACCTGACTAATGTGTTATACCATTCCAGTAAGTCCACCATTAATGGCAAAGAGTAAGCTCCAGTACTTATCTGCAAAGCCCAGTCGTTTGACAATCATGGCAGTTAATGCACCTGAAGCTCCTGAATGAGAAAAGACAACCAGATTCAAACTAGATTCCTCTTTTTGTCAAAGATCACTGGAAACAGAATAAAATCTTGTCTCCTAGGTAAATAGTTCGTGTGTCTAACCTCCAAGAACTGTGTTGACAATGGACAGAGCTACAGCATCTGCATCTCCTCCGAACGTAATGGCTGCCTGTGAGCCACCATTGAATCCCAGGAAACCAAAAAACAGGATAAATCCTCCAAGAGCAGCTTTCTAGAGCAAAGGAAATGCAAAAGTATAGTTTAAGCAGGAGTTTATAACCTGTAATAGTCTCTTGGTTGAAGATTTTAAATGCCCTGCATATTGAATAGACCAGTCCACAAATTAAAATCGACCCTAAAAAATTGCATTCACAAGAGGTCTTTAACTCACTGGTACAGTATGGCCTGCAAGCAACACAGGGACACCATTCACAAATCTTCCTGTCCTTGGTCCAACAACAGTTGCTCCAATTAAGGCAACAGTACCACCAAGAACATGAACAACCCCACTGCCAGCAAAATCCTTGATTAAATATCAGGAATAACAAAAAGGGTGAGATTACAGACCTTGATTGACCTGCACTACTGACATGTAAAAATGTACAGGGGAAAGGTTCTTTTTAATGACATGTTAAGATCATAGCTTTACTAGTTTCTAACCTGGTATGCAATAGACATGGTTACATTGTCTTTTGTGTACTCCACACCCTTGTACAGCCAACCATTTCCATCCCAAGCCCAGTGAGTGACTATTGGGTACACAAAGCCTACCAGAAAACAATGAATATATCAAGGGCATGCCAATATCAGGTAGAAAGCAGGAGACTTGTGTACCACCTCTGGAACTTACCAGTGAGAAACACAGAGTACAAAAGGTAAGCCTTGAACTCTGTCCTCTCTGCCATGGCACCACTGACAATTGTTGCCGCTGTGGCGGCAAAAACAAAATGGAAAAACCAATGAGAGTATTGGTTAGCTGGTAAATCTGCCAGTGCGAAAAACTTGTGTCCAATGAAGCTATTGCTCTCAGCTCCAAATGCAAATGCATACCCAAACAACCAATATGCAACTGCACCAATAACTGTCAGGAATAAAATGTGACACATTATTTACTTATAGAACTGCCACCATGACACAATAGACTATTCAAAATCTAGCCCAAAAATGGCTGTTTATACTGGTTAACAGCATAAAAAGTTAACTTCTTTGGATGAAAAAGGAACAGTTATATCATAGGAGTCAAATCTTGATCTTATTGAGGAACTGGTAAATGAGTACTTTCTTTTATCTCTATACTTACATACATCCAGGAAATTCTTGATCAGAATGTTAGTTGTGTTCTTTGATCTTACTGAGCCCGCTTCAAGAAAAGCAAATCCTGTTTGCATAACTAAAAAAAAAAAAACAGCCATCAGCAATGAACTAGTCAGTGGGTAAGACGTCATACATCCATTGTTGTCTGTTTTTCACTTAGTCACTTATTCAATCTGCTCATTGGTGCTTCTTTTTGGGGCAGCAAGACACATGTGGTAGGGAGGGATCTATTTTAGAGAGCTGCATCAGGTCACCATTTGTCCATCCTGGAAAAGTTTGCCTAGATTTTTAAATTTGGTCCCTATTGCAATCCATGTGAACCGTTCTCTATGCACACACTTTAATTTTTGATTAACTTTTTCTTCTTTGTTACTTTTAACCCCTGGCCAGCAAATGACCTTGTTAGTAACAATCATATTCTGTTAATTTCATATGCATTATTTTTGTCTCTTAATCTCAGTTGTTCTTCTTTCATTTCAGTTCAATGTTTTCCTCACACTTTCAGGTTTTATTTGTATAGTAGAATGATCCTAGAAGCAGAGTGGGTGCTTAAGTCAGCATACCATCTTTTTCTCCCGTTTAAGCAAGGAAAACAGTTTTAACTCTTCCTGAAAAATATTTGCTCTTAATATGTAAAGTAGTCACATTAGACACAAATTTCTCAAACTTAATTTCCAGCCTCAATTTGGCCTGATAATGTGCTCAAATATTTGTCCCTGGACAGTATCCGTTTCTCAAAGCTCACTGTTTTCCTCAAGGTACACTTTTGGAAGATTATTTACATCAGAAATTGTTCAGGGACAAATATTGTTACATATTTATGTGCTTAGGGGGTGGGGGTAGGGCTATTGTACATATAACAATGGTTAGAAAAGTACAAATCTACTTCACTTTCAATCAACCAGCATGATGTACCTTAACAGGGGGAATAGGTTACAGATATAAATTCTAATTTAGCAATTTCCATAAAATTTTTCAATTTCCCAAATAAAAATGGGGGAAGCACTCTGAAAAAGGCTTACGTAAGAAAGGAAGAAAACCATACTCACAAAAAATAAGGCATCCTGTGATGATGAGAAAAAAATGGTCAAGGTTGTCTTGCAAAATCTGTAGTTCTGACAGCATATCCATTTTGATCTCTGCTTCTGCTGAAGTAATTTCAGTTGATATAAGGGACTGGTCATTATTTATTGGGAGGGGGGCTGGTGCACAGAGGGGGGCCACCATTTTTTATGCATGGCTTAAAAGCGGGGCCATTAAAAAATATGCAAATGTTTTGCCAGAAAAAATTTTAAAAGCTGCATCTGGATGCCATCAACAAATACAGCCTATTAAAATAGCTTTATATACATAACCACCATAACCTTGGAAAATCAGAAGACGACTCAGAGGAAGAACACTGTGTCCTTGCCGAGATTGATATTTCAAGCTCTGAAGAAGAAGAGGAGTTGACTCAAGAAGAAGAAATGATTGAGAGCACCGAGAACTTTAATGTCAATATGACAATTGTCTACTCACAGTCTGGGCGAAGAGTAACTCAAATCCAAATTTAAGGTAGCTTTAACTAGAATGTCTATCAGTTGGACATGGTGACTTGATAAATAGATGCTTTTTGTTTCATGCATGCCTGAGGACAAGGGGGAATGGGAGGGGGGATCAGCAAAAATCATGTTAAAGAAAAAGGGGGGGGGCAGCAAAAATCAAGCATGGCATATTTTACATTGCACCAGCCTCCCCCTCCCGATAAATAATGACCAGTCCCTAACAGGTTTTTTTTTTCACAAAAAAAATGTATGATGCAGTGGATTCATCTAGCAACCTTTTTGGTACTGTGAAGGTGTAGTCTGATCCTTCGGGTGAGTGTAGTCCTGAGAAGGACTGTTGTCAGTGGTAGTGACTGACGTTTCGACAACCTGTGCGGAAGTCATCATCAGAGTCAAGTGAATGATTGTTGTCAGTAGAATGTTCTTATTCCAGTTCGTGTGAAATGATCGGTTGGTTTTGCCGTGATGTTATTGGCTGTAAGACTCAAGTGACGTAAGTCGGTCGTGATTGGTCTGTTTCGATCTGTCGGTAAAGTTAGGTCGTTCTTTTTCGGTCGTTTGTGATGTTTATGTCGTGAATGAGTCGTTTGTATGGAGCGGGTAGTTGTTGACATCTGTTTAGGGGAGTCTGTTCTAAGTTAGTAAACCAGCTTTCCAGAGTCAGTCGTTGAAAATAGTCAGTGCTGTAGGTTAGGCATTGCGCAGAGTCCCAGTCAATGTTGTGGTTGGTAAGTCGATGGTGTTCAGCAATGTGATTGCTGACATCACCTTTCCTCGTCGCCCGTCTGTGTTCAGTCAGTCTTGTTGTGAGGTTTCTGCCAGTCTCACCGATGTAGGAGGCTTGGCAGTCGGAACAATTGATCTTATAAATCGTTCCCTGTCTGTTCCTCGGTTCGTCTTTGTCTTTAACGTTGGTTAGTAACTGACGTAGTGTGGTGATGGGTTTGTGGGCGACGCGGATATTGAAGGGTAGTAAGATGCGCGAGATGTTTTCAGACATGCCTTTTATGTACGGTATGGTTGCTGTAGTCGTAGGGGTTGCGGTGTCGTTTGTTTCGGTAGTGGTAGTGGGTCGGTGAGTGTTTCGTCGGATGTCACCACACTACGTCAGTTACTAACCAACGTTAAAGACAAAGACGAACCGAGGAACAGACAGGGAACGATTTATAAGATCAATTGTTCCGACTGCCAAGCCTCCTACATCGGTGAGACTGGCAGAAACCTCACAACAAGACTGACTGAACACAGACGGGCGACGAGGAAAGGTGATGTCAGCAATCACATTGCTGAACACCATCGACTTACCAACCACAACATTGACTGGGACTCTGCGCAATGCCTAACCTACAGCACTGACTATTTTCAACGACTGACTCTGGAAAGCTGGTTTACTAACTTAGAACAGACTCCCCTAAACAGATGTCAACAACTACCCGCTCCATACAAACGACTCATTCACGACATAAACATCACAAACGACCGAAAAAGAACGAACTAACTTTACCGACAGATCGAAACAGACCAATCACGACTGACTTACGTCACTTGAGTCTTACAGCCAATAACATCACAGCAAAACCAACCGATCATTTCACACGAACTGGAATAAGAACATTCTACTGACAACAATCATTCACTTGACTCTGATGATGACTTCCGCACAGGTTGTCGAAACGTCAGTCATTACCTCCGACAACAGTCCTTCTCAGGACTACACTCACCCAGACGATCAGACTACACCTTCACATGTTACCCCCGGGTTCAAACCATTTACTGCTTTTTGGTACTATAAGTAAAAGTATGGGATCCCTCATAAAGACTTCCCAAATCTCCACATAGATGAGGTTTAAACTATAGTGACCTCAATTTTGGTTAGTAAGAGGTAGATATTGGTAACAATGAAAGATTAACGAAATAAACCACTCACAATTATGATACAATTTCAAAATACTAATAAATCACGTCAATCAATTGTCAATAAATATTAGAGTTTGGCTCCAAATTGTTGAAAGTATTCAAAATCCTTGTCTGCGTTTTATTCATTTATCTCAAAGGATGATAAAAAAAAATGCTGAAAGCAGAAACAAAATAGACTTAGAAGATGCCAAAAATCTTGGTTTACTAAATGAAAAAAATAATCTGTCTGGTTTTTTAAAATTTGATGTAAAAGTATTAGAGAGAGACAAAACCTTGTAAACTTGAGGGAGGAACCCAAAAAATGATTGCTAGGCTGTTGGGCTAACAGCCACCTGATTCTGGCAAAGGCAGTGTTCGACACTTCACTGTACAGTATACACAATAGATTTGTGACTGTTTGTTTCAGGTAGCTGAGAGAAGGGGAAAGTACAGGCCAAGAAAAAGAGAGAACAAAGAATTTTGTTTTTTATCAGTAGAGAATAAAGGAACATCGATACCAAGGCTCATGTGGTTGAGAATCTTCAGGGGTCAGTAAAACTCAACTAAGGGGCCGACCATTTAACTTTTGAGGAGGGGGGATGGGTGATTTCTGGTCATCAAGAAATTTTTTTCTAGCAATCTGCTGTGCAGGATATTTTTTTCTGATTTTTTTGGTACATTTTTTCTGTTACATTTGGGCTGCATGCAATTTTTTTCTTCCAACAAGTGCTTGCAGGAAAGTTTTTTTTCAAAATCACCCACTCCCCCCCCCCCTCAAAAGTTAAATGGTTGGCGCCTGAGCATGGTTGTTTCTAGTTCGGTACCAGACCTTTGCCCAACACTAGGCTTAGCCACAAGTTGCTCGGCAACTTTTTGGCAACTTTTGAGATTTTCGGCAACTTTTTAGAATTTTGGCAACTTTTAGAATTTTCGAGAACTTTGGGCTTTTTGGGGTTCTTTGAAGTCACTTTCTTCATGTTTTGAGCCACATTGGTCAGTTTTCGATAAACATTCAATTTATTCTAAAATAAAATAATTAGGGCCCCCATGGGTTGACTTTTGTGATCCCTCATCCCGAGGTCAGCGGTATCACGTTGCACGTTTTTCAAGATGGCGGACAATTACAGTGACTATTTGTTGATCAAGTGAAATGGAAAGAACCTCTGATATTATCATTGGACTTTGACAAATAAAGTTTTGATTAGAAGCAATGTGCGAATTATTAATCTTTAACACCCAAAAAAAGGTACGAAAAGCAGAAAAATTTTGGCAACTTTTCGGCAACTTTTTGGAAATTCAGCAACTTTTCGGCAGCTTTTTGAAAAAAGTAGCAACTTTTTGGCAACTTTTAGACACTTTTATCAGCAAATTTTTTGGGATTCATCGGCAACTTGTAGCTAGGCCTACCCGACACCCTCCTGCTGAGTCCAGAGGGAAGAGAAAAAGAAAAAGCATATGTAATTCTGTTTAGAGAACGTGAAAAAAAGATTAAAGATGCTTAAAATAATTTAAAACGGTGATTGATTCCTGAATAGACAAGGTTTTCTCTTGAATAAATATTGTTATGCCTACGAAAAGTTTCTAACGTGAACTTGGCAGAGTGGAAACTACGTACCGCTGTGGGGACAGGTTTTAATTAAAACATAACTATGATTAAAACAGTTAAACATTACCTTTTCAAATTGAAATTTTTGGTAAAGAATTAAAAAGATACTCACGTTTTGGAGGAAAAAATTATTGTGGTGTTCTCTGAGTCAACTTTTTCCGAGAGAGTTTTTGCGTGTAATAGTCAAGAAAGAAAGGCATTTTCCAAACCGCGACCTACGCCACGATTGCGTGATCTCATGACGTAAGAGTTTCAACCCGTAAAGCAATATGGTCTTCCCGGTAGGTTTTATCAACTTTTGATTGCGATGCGCGAGAAAATCGTCGGAAGGTCAGAATTTTGTCGCCGAAAGAGCTTGACTTCTAGTTGGAAATAGTCGATGTGACTGTCAAGACGCAACGGGAAAGACTGAGAGTGTTTTAGAAGTGTATAATTCCGAAAAGAGCGACCTTCGAATGCGGCCGTAGGAACGATTTGGACGGTTTGTCGTATCATGTCTTTCACTGGCAAGTGATGGAATTTAGTATTTATTTTTCGTATCCTACAAACGAGAAGTAAATAGTATCTGTGTTGAATATTCGGCATCTATTCGTGAAGGAAGGATCAATTAACGAAGAGAGGATGGGGGAACGAAAACATGAATTTTTCTTCCAAATGCGAATCCAATTTGATTCCTCGTTCTTTTCCAAAGATAGAAAAAAAGAGGCCCTGCTCACATTTAGTTGTGTGTACAAATTTAATCGTTACACATGGTTAAAGTCAAATTAAGTTAGGTTCTAATAGTGACAAAGATGATTCAGAAAGACTAACAAATTTACAATCAGGCTGGAAGCATTAGAACTGTTTTCAGAATTAACTATATACAACTTTATTACCGTATAGGCATGTGTTTACAACATGGAACTGTAATGAGGCTGTACGTGGAGATGTACACCTTCCATGGAAATTGTTGGTAATAGACTGACTGTAAATTCAGTGCAAGATCTCTTTCAAAAAATGCACGAAGTTTAGAAATGAAAGAATAGTCAAAAAGGTACGTTACTAGAATGTTAATTAAAGAAAAGAAAAGCAGAATTCAGCACGGTAAAATAATTTGGATTCGGTAGATGGATACTGAGGTGAGATTACATTTACAGATATAAGATTTAGAGATTTGAATGAGGTGAAAACAAAAAAAAAGTTTGAATTTAAAATTGACAACAGTGTTTATCAAATTTGCAAACAGTTAGTGTTAAATTACAGGTGATAGGATTTTGAAAATTACAGTAACCATTTCTTTGTAGAGGATTTGTGTGGAGTTTTGTTCAGTTACGAAAAGTGTTTGTAAATTTTGGTATGTATGTTGCATAGTGAATCCATAAAATGTTGCAAACAATTTTTGGCTTTATTGTATATGGTCTTGTAGTAAACAGTAGGTTTGCGATTTTTTGTTTTCTTCATTTTTTTGGGCCTTGTGGGTGGGCTGGATTTGTGTGCCAGGGAAAAGAGTGTTCAGTAAAAAGTTTTTCAGGGAGTCTAAGGTAGGCAGTTGCAGGGAAAACAGTTAAGGTATGAAGCTGTATTCTTCCAGAGTTGCTGAGGGATCCCTTCTTAAGTGTAGTCATGTGGGCTGAGTTTTTTTTCTTGTCCATAGGGACATGTCCAAAGAAAAAAATTGTATCAGTGGATATTATTATTGGAAGTGGACCTAACCTTTTCATATTCCTAGTGTCCTTCTCACCGTGAGTATTTGTTAAGATTAAGGTTGATCTACATATAAGCATCTAATCACATTCACGATGAAAGGCGGGAATTAGTTTTGTGTGGAAGTAAAGCATTGAGGTTTATGGTGTTTGTGGTGAGAGGGTCATTGCTGAAGTCAGGAAAAGTTGAGTAATAATGGCAATAGGGTTGGAAAGTAAGGTTACAAGCAAAAGGCTACCACTGACATAAAAAAGATTCCTTTAATGCCCTTTCTCACACATTGTGAAAAATGTAGTTGGTGGTGAAAATTTACATGCTGTATGATGTGTGCAATGGTATAATTTAATTGTGCCATAATATCTTAGAAATATCAGTCCTAGCGGGTGAGTCATGCATTTTAAAGCATGAAAAGCACTTATTTTATTTTGATTTGTTGTGGTGACCGTCACAAGAATATACACATTTTGTGGTTTTTGGAGGGTGAAGGGAGACTGGACTTTAGTGGATAGACTGTGGCTTCCTTACTCACCTAATCTGCTAGAGACTAGACTCCTCTCACACCATATATAGGTCCGAAGACTGATCGTATACTATCTTGAAATTTTGATTGCTATCTTGAGATTAAAGTACTTTCTAATCAACGAAATCTAAAGACTATTAAGGGTTAACTTAAAGATCACTGTAATAATACAATGTCATCTTGCATGATAAAAGCTAAATAAATATGGAGGCTGCTTTCCTCTCTTTGTTGCTAATGGCGTTTAACAGTTGAGCAATTTTGGGTCACTTATGTTCAAGCTGAAATTTTTTCTCAGGTAAATTGAAATTATTCTGTTGTATTATACATCAAGTATTGCTCGCCAGTGGCTCCAGCATGGAACAATAACTGAGCAACATGAAACTATCATAAGTGCTGTGAGTTAGTATATATCATGTAAGAGATTCATCTCCCCATATTTGGCTTGACCTGGCCCAGACAGTCAGTTCTGGCCCAGACAGTCCGTTATATTCAAAACTCTGTGGTTTCATTCTTGTTTGGAGCTTCAATGACCTCAAGGCTTGGATTATCAATTCCACCTCCTTTCTCAGGATAGTTTTGGACAGGGGTGACACCATTATTATGACTGAATGGCAAGGTCTGTCTTGGTGCTGTTGGTGACTCCGACCATCCATCTCCGTAACTGGCCAGTGGGTATGCGGGCTCACCATGTTTGGGAATATCAAGACCTTGGAGAACAAAACATAAGTTTTTGGTTTTGGAATAGGGTTCAAATTATTTTAAATTAGGTGCAATGATAACTGACAGATCAATTCTCCCCATTGATGTTGGCCCATTGGCAAATACCACTGAGGTAATTATAATATGCTGTTAATTTAAGATTTGATTTGATTTGATGTCATCATCTCCTAAAAAGTTCACATACTTCTCAACCAATGTTTCATGTCATGATTAAATTACTCTTTTACTGGCAGGAATTAATGTTAACAGCATATCACCTAAGTAGATGTACAGGTATATTGACTATGTTTGTCAGACCTCCATGATAGCTTTTGATGTTGTAACAGCTTAAAAGGTATTAAAAACTCAAACCCTCTAATTGATAGAAAGGTCCCCAGCTCCCAGGATAAGTGAGAGGTACTCGAGGTTTGTAGGCTGTGAGGAGTGTCGGCATGTACCTATGTACATACAGTGCAAGCATGAAACTCAGACAAAGAATTGATGAATCTAGTCCAGATTATTACCTTTCTCCTCGATTTCTGGGCTGACACGAAGCAGCCTTGTGACACGCAACACAATGAACAAGACTAAACTCAATGCTGCCGACCAGGCCATAATGACAAGCACTCCTAAGAGGTTCCAGCCAAACAAACGGAATGAATGAGCGCTTCCATCGTAAAATATTCCACTCTCCTTGTTGAAGATGGGGACAGACAACACGCCCCAGAAACCCCCACCGAGATGAACTGTGCAAAATATTCACACAAGGCTATTAGCGAAAAGTGCAGTTGCTTTTTATCAGTAATCCGGCATTGCACTCATTGTGAGTATAAATCCGGCAGTGCACTCATTGTGAGTATAAATCCGGCATTGCACTCATTGTGAGTATACGATTGATGCATAATATTCCCAACACCATTTTATCAAACCTTCAGTATACCAAAACCAATCTCCCTTTAATCCACTTCCTCACGCTTTCCTGTGCATAAGACCAATACATGTTTTGACTCAAACTTTCCTTGTAATGGTTTCATTGGTCCAAATATCTGAGGTTTTGTTTTAATTTTACGGCACTCGATCGAACAGCACCGGTTGGAGATCGGTGGATGCAATCCCACGCTAGAAACGAGAAGTTTGCGGGAAAATAGAACATGATCTGATACAGATGGATCAGTGTTTGAGAAACTCACCAGCCACGGCATCCAGCGGATCATCAATCTTTAAACGAATCATAAGAGTGCTCCATCCAACGTAAGCCACTCCAGCAATGGTACCAATAATAAAAGCTGCATAAGGATGGACGGCATTACAACCCGCACACAAAGCCACCTGAGAAACAAATGCAATAGTTGGTATTTGAAATTGAGAGAAGAAATTTACTTGATGGCAATTCACATTTAAAGGGTAAAGGATTGTAATGGTTTTAGCAACGGATCCTTTTCTGGGGCTTTAATTGGAGGGGACTCTTGAATATTCAAAGCCCACGCATATCCATAACCTAACTAATGTGCAATACCATTCCAGTAAGTCCGCCATTAATGGTGAAAAGTAAGCTCCAGTATTTATCTGCAAAGCCTAGACGCTTGATGATCATGGCAGTCAGCGCACCTGAAGCTCCTGAATGAGAAAAGAAAACCACACTAGACTCTTTTGTCAAGGAGGACTGGAAATGGAAAAAAATCTTGGCTCCTAGGTAAATAGTTCGTGTGTCTCACCCCCAAGAACGGTGTTGACGATGGACAGAGCTACAGCATCTGCATCGCCTGCGCTAGCGATGGCTGCCTGTGAGCCGCCATTGAATGCCAGGAAACCAAAAAACAGGATGAATCCTCCAAGAGCCGCTTTCTAGAGTAAACAAAATGCGAAAGCATAGTTTAAGCAAGAGATTAGAAACTGTAATGATCTCTTGGTTGAAATTTTCAAATGCCATGCATAATAAATGGAAAAGTCGACAAATTAAAAATCCACCCTAGTAAATGGCAAGAGGTCCTTAACTCACTGGTACAGTATGGCCTGCAAGCAACACAGGGGCACCATTCACAAATCTTCCAATTCTTGGTCCAACAATAGCTGCTCCGACTAAGGCAACAGTCCCACCAAGAACATGAACGACCCCACTGCCAGCAAAATCCTTGATTAAATCAGGAATAACAAAAAGGGTGAGATTACAGACCTTGATTGACCTGGACTAGTACGTACAAATGTACAGGGGAAAGGTTATTTTTAATAACTTGTTAAGATAGCTATTACTAGCTTCTAACCTGGTATGTAACAGACATGGTTACATTGTCTTTTGTGTACTCCACACCCTTGTACAGCCAACCATTTCCATCCCAAGCCCAGTGAGTGACTATTGGGTACACAAAGCCTACCAGAAAACAATGAATATATCAAGGGCTTGCCCATATCAGGTAGAAAGCAGGAGACTTGTGTACCACCTCTGGAACTTACCAGTGAGAAACACAGAGTACAGAAGGTAAGCCTGGAACTCTGTCCTCTCTGCCATGGCACCACTGACAATTGTTGCTGCTGTGGCGGCAAAAACAAAATGGAAAAACCAATGAGAGTATTTTTCAGCTGGTAAATCTGCCAGTGCAAAGAACTTGTGTCCAATGAAGCCATTGCCCTCAGCTCCAAATGCAAACGCATACCCAAACAACCAATAGGCAACTGCACCAATAACTGTAAGAAACAAAATGATGTGACACATTATTTCCTCGCTTTTGAAAAAGTAGCTCAAAGATGGCTGTTCATACCGGCAACAGCGTGAAAAGTTAACTTCTTGAAAAGAATATAAAGAATGATTAAATAATGACAGTCAAATTTTAATCTGATTGGAGAACTAAATTGGATGAAAGTTGAGTGAAAGTGCATATGTAGGGGAGAGATGCTATTTTCCTTTTTGAAATTTTGAAGCACTTTTCATACTGGTAAATGTATACTTTCTTTTATCGCTACTTACAAACATCCAGGAAATTCTTGATCAGAATGTTGGTTGTGTTCTTTGATCTTACTGAGCCCGCTTCAAGAAAAGCAAATCCTGTTTGCATAACTGAAAGAAAAAAAAACAGCAGCCATCAACCACCCAACCAGTGAGTAAGACGATATTTTATAGGTTGTCTGTCTCAGATACTCATGCAAAATTAACTGGTGTTTCACTATAGCGTGGGGAGACACATGTACGCTAGGGGGATCTCTTCCAGCGAGCTGCATCAGGTTACTATTTGTCCATCCTGGAGAGGTTTACCTAAATTTTTCAATTTGTTCACTTTGTAATCCAAATGAACCTTCTCCATTCTTAACCAAGCACTCTAATTTTGTACCTAATCATTCTAAGCAACATATGGCAATCTGCGGTCTTTCCTTACACTTAGGTAGCACGGAAAGCCTTAAAAATCTTGAACAAAAGCTCATCTTTCAAACCGGCAGTCTAAATCCCACAGGGATCAACGAATGCTTTTCATTCCACCAATTTATTCTTGTTTTTCTCATTGCCATGTTCCCACCAATAACGTAGCTCCATTTTCTGCCTTTAAAAGCACACACAACCCACAATTCCTCTATTCGCTCCGACGAAGGGCTAACGCTCGAACGTCAGCCTTTTTAATCGTTACGGTGGCCAATTTACCATTTCAACTTTGTTGATATATTCAAATTATTTCGTTACCCCCACCGCCCACCGACGCAGCCCCAAACAGTTTCTTTCGAAACTATCAGCCTTTACTCTAATTTGTGGTTTCTTTTTTCCTCTTTGTCGCTGTCAACCACCGCAAACTATTATTTCAATTGTGTATTCTGTAAATAACAAATTTAGTTGACTAGGAATACCAACAGTTCCCACATTTCAAATTAATTCTTTCTCTTCGCTCTTAATTTCATGTGTTCTTTTTTTTTAATTTCAGTTCAATTTTATCCTTACAGTGTCAGCATTTGTGTCGTATGATATCATGATCCCAGAGGCAGAGTCGGCATACTGTGAAAACTTAGTGGTGATTTAAAAAGAGAACTAACTTTTGCTATTTTATTTATGCAAGGAAAAAATTCCTAACTCCTTCTCAAAATATGGGCTCTTATGTAAATAAGTCACATAATGCACTGATATCTAAAACTTTTTCAACGAGGTCACTTTTCTGCCTCTCACATTTTTGTCCAGTTTTAGACATGATTAATCATGTATTGTCAATCGTATGTCAGCGTTAGAGGTAGGTGGACATCGGACGCATTCTGATTAATTTAGGCATATTTAGAAAAGAACCTCATCCAATTACAACAACTTTAATATTTATATTGCGCAAAATACATGTAATATATGATCAAATGCGCCTTACATGATAATAAATTCAAGCTCCAATACAGTTGACTCCCGATCGATAATGACAAAACAAACTATCAAGCCAAAATAGTGAGCTACACATTCCTCTTCTTTTTACTTGAAAAAGGTCCAGATTTCTTTCGTGATTGTTAGTTCGGATAGTTTGATTGTTTTTGTTTTTTTTTTTGCGGTTTCTTGCTACATTATCAGTGGCTACAAAAGGGAAGTGAGGATATTATAGTTGCTGGATTATGACGCGACATATTGTCAGTTCATTTGCATTTATGCGTGGGTCCGGATATTTGTGAATTCTCTGTTTTTATATCTGTTCACCCCAGATGTCAGAAAAAACATTTAAAATAGATTTTTGGTTGTGAAAAGTGCGGGTTATGACTGTGCGCCTTGGATAAACTTGAGGTTTCTATACTTTAATCATTGTTGTAGGTGTGATAATTTTAGACAAGTTACGGTGGTTCAAGAGTCCTCTGTGATGTAATAGCCCGAATCCACTTTGGCAATATATTTAGAGTAGACTTCATAGTTACCCTAAGACGACAGAAATTCAGCTTTACTTTCATAGGCAAAGTAATAGTCGGCTTTAGGCCTTTATAGATTATGCTAGCATAATTTTTGGCCTAATTTGAGCAAACTGGCATAATTTCTGCCAAGTAGCAGTGCTAGCATAATTCGCATATTTTGATATTTATCGGATTATTTTTGCATGTTTATTTGAATTTCATTGTGGATTTGTTGCGTTTCTTTCTTGTAGACCAACGGCTTCTAATTAAAAAATGTATTTTTTGGACTTATTTGCAATTTTTTCAAAGAGCATAATTTTAGCATAATTTTGCCAAAAAAAAAAAGAAAAAACCAAGGCTACTAGCATAATATGCTACTTTTACTAGCATAATCTATAAAGGCCTTGTAGGCTTCGCAAAAAGACCAGTTTCAGAACTAAAGGTTACCGAGGTCGAGAAAAGCTCATAGCGTTGCTTTATAAAGATAAAATATCTTGGAATTTCCATTATTTGTTTATTAAGCTTATGACCAGAGTTCCGGGCACAGAAATTAGGAAGGCTCCAGATTTACTTGTGTTTTGACGTTGCCAAGGTAACAAGACACTTATCCTTTCATGCGTAAAGTTTCTATTGGGAATGTCAATTGGGACTCGAACAGAGCCCCCTCAAAAAATTGGCGTTCGCTAACAAAATAAAAAACTCCCGTTGTTCACAAAGCTTGTATGTTCTAGTCTCCGGTGTTGCCTAAATTCTGCAGTATTTGTCTTGTAAATCATAGGCCGAGTTCTTAAGGACGGTTTTATTTGCTTGATTTTTTCAATTTGTCAGTTTTCGTTGAAAATGTTAATTTCTTATGCCGATACAGGGTGGCGATAAGTACCACTGGAATTCTTGACATCGTGTAAATGAGTGAAAATAGCTATCATAAAGCTCTGATTTGGTCATCTTATCATTTCTTTTACATAATTTTTAGTAAAACAGACCCTCCCTGGTTTCCTGTTTTGCGTGTTTGTTTATAATTCCCCAAAAAGTCTTGTAGAACTTAGTGTTTGCTTCATTCGACCTTTTTAAGGAAGGAAACGTTTGCGAGAGCAGAGTAGCCAAAGTAACTCAGAGAATCCTGCTTTGTCGTAAATCTAAGTATTGGCCCGCTTTTATTTCTGTCATGAAGTTTGTTTGGTTCTCAAAATGTTTCTTTTGCTGTGTTGTCTTGCTTTAAATGCCTTGACATTACATAGAGCATCAAATTAATTTTCCAAAACTGTTTCATTTTGGCACCGTCATCGTGTTCTAAAAAATCGTTCTTATTTAACTCTTCGGTTGTCAGACGTGTAACATACTTGCAAGAATTGCGAAGACAATATCCAACTTCATTTCCGCTTTTTTATTTCGTGAACATGACGATTTTATAGTTTTAGGTGGAGATTTAATACCAAGATTCTCCGCACCTTGAGAATCGCCTTTGCCGGATTATGCAAAAGGTCAATACCGGAGAGACATTTTTCAGGTTGGTTCTCATTCATCTTCTTTTGGTGAACAGCACATTATAAGGTGAAAAAAACCAATATATATCATGCGAAGGTTCTTCATTAACTGCCGCACTACCGCTCTTACATTCAATTTTTTCGAATGTTAACGTCATAAAATTGCACGAGCTACAACACTTCGAAAAATAAAAGATTAGAACAAAACTAGTAGTGACATTCTTTTGTTGGTTATCCGACGGCGACAAAAGTTATGTGTCATTCTTTTACTTAATGAAAGGAATAGAGAAAGAGAGAGAGAGAGAAAGAGATTCATCTTAACTAGACTTAAAGAAACCAATCTGTGCTGAAAATGATCTCAGCAAAATGTTATTTAGGCTCTAGGGAACAGTTGGTAAGAGTTTAAATGAATGTAAAAGAAGCCGGCTTAGAGATACTAGCTTGTTATCTAATTTGATGTATTCGTGAGCAAGCTTCTCTCGGCGGTTTGTTGTGGAGACGGATAGACCTGCAGTCTATCTTTACTAGCTGAACTTTCAAATTTTCGGACATGAGTTCAGACAGGTTTGAGCGCTCATCACTCACTTAAAGCTTACGACAAGTTTTTTTTTTTTCTGTTTTCGAAAAATACCGGCAAATTTCATTACTTGTAAAAAATTTTCGTTGAGTTTAAGTACTGCTTTTTTCCTCGGTCAAATTTCTCCTTGATGGTTCCGAATTATTTTACATCAAGGAAAGGTTAAGTTGTCTTTACTTAACGATTTTTCCCTTATTTGTTTAAACTCAAGCCAAGGTCATCAAATTGTTTGGCAAGAATTTTCGAATTTCGTTCCGCATGGTAAGCTCTTGTGGTCCAAGTTTCACCCGTGCACTAAAATATACAGGCATGCTGTTGACATGTGAACAAATATTAGCAGATCTATTCTCGCAATAAAAATGATTAAAAAAATACAAGTTCGCTTCATATTTTCCATCGAGTTTGTCGCTGTAGGCGCTCATAAATCAGAAATGTGTGTTTTTGCTCCGATGCAATCAACTATGTAGATGTTACTTAACAGGCCTAGCAGAATACAGATGTATACACCACTTTGGAAAATCTTCGTAAAGTTTTTCATTTCGAAAATATAAATGGCGAAAGTACTAAGAAAGTGACTGAAAGAGTAACGTTACTTAAAAAAGAAAGAAAATCATACTCACAAAAAATAAGGCAGCCCATTACAATCAAAAAAAATTGGTCGAGGTTTCCTTGCAAAATCTCTAGTTCTGTCTTCGCCATTTTGACCTCTGCTTCTGCTGAAGTAATTGGAGTTGATATAAGACACACAGGAAAATATTTAGAGCTTCGTTAGAACTTGCGTGTCTGACTTGATCGCCGTGCAATGACCCGGCGGAGAAACTGAGTGTCTTAAGTTATGTAACTGTCGGTGTTTTGCACTCAGCTTGGCCACGTGATTTATTTGTTCTCCAGCATGCATGAGTAAAACAGGTTATAGACTTTGACCCTCAATAAGGCAGAGTTCCCACACACTGCTTAGAAAATAAAAACATTTGGTCAGAGTTACTCTATGATTTCTTACTTATTTCCTTTCGATTTTTAGTTTATCCTTCCTTAAAAGTGATAAAGGAAAACTACATCATGGTCTGTGATACAATCTTACAATTTTTGATTACCATGAAGTTAGATCGCTGTTGCAGACAAGAAAATCTTATTCTTATCCACAATAAGTTATCAGGCAGCTAGTGAGATAGAGAATCTTACATAAAATATTTTCTTTTTCACTCGAGAACACCTATTTTGGAATTGTTTAGGTGGGGTTAGCGAAAGTAACCGGTGGAACCGGCTTCAAGGTATAACCATTCTATTTTAGTTTCGCTAAATATGCGTCAATTGTCTTAGCAGCATAGTAACACCTTTCCGCTTAATTTTATTCTGAACCAATCACAGTGTTTCAAAGTGAATAAAGGAAGGCGTTGTATTGGACTCTATCTCGTGGCACGTCATGAGAAAGGAACCGAAAAACGTGACGTGAAGTTGTTATTGAGCACTTAGTACTATGTTGAGCATAACGTCAGATTTTGGGGTAGGAAGAACTGGCATGTTGACTGTTAAGAACTGTCAGACAACAGCATAGTTTAAAAGTACCTAACGACTGTATCATTCATTACATTAGTTCTACGACAGCGTGTTACACAACCCCCGTTTTCGTATGTAAATAAGTACTTGACGGATTAGCACGTGATATTGGTGTCTCCACACTACATCAATAGAGTTTGTAGTAATTGTTTCCATTTTGTAATCTGTTACAGGTCGAAGGCATAGTTAAACTATGGTCGAAAGCTAATATCATATCATAGATCTTTAGTCAAAACATGCCTTTGCTTGTTCAAAAGAAGGTTAACTTTATTGTCCCAATAAATCAGGTGGTATCCGTTGGATGGCGTAATATCTTTTGCTAATACGTGTCCGCCGATCAGCGGCAGGTCCCTAAGACAGCTGAATGATCCGAGCGCCTCGTAAATACCCACGAGTGACGTTTGCATGTCTGCAAAAGCAGACGTAAAGAAGTATCCAAACACGTACTTTTACATTGATGAATGGTTTCTTAATATTTGTTTAAATAAATCCCAGTTGAAAGAAAAGATGACGTCTGTCCTTGTTGCTATTGACAGAATCTATTAGCGTTAAACTTATTCGTGTTTTATGAAATAAGTCCCCGAAAATTTTAAGACAAGTAGCCAGCCATATTTACAATTTAGGTACAATAAATTTCCTGCCGACGTGAAGGGAAGATTTACGCTCGCGTTTAGATGCAATTTCAGGTATTTAATTATAATGACAAACATTTAAACTATGAAGAACAAATAAGAACTTTGTATGAGATTTTTAAAACTGTAATTGCCTACTTCACGACTTTATTGTTCCTAAAGTAGGTACGAACGTCACACACTCTAAGTGTTATGGTGTCGTATGAAATTTCTTAGCCACTGATTCAACGTTACGTAACAGAGGAACCGAAAATATTATCTTTGGAAATGAAATGAAACAACAGCGACTGTATTTGATGAAAATGGAGAACGACCATGATCCAGTTATACTCACTTTTTAAGATTAAAATTTAAATCGCTCTTTTGTGAACATTACCTTTCAAATAAAATTAAATATTTCGGTAATGAGATAAAAGAAGATGAGAAACTGAAATCTTAATTGCATTAACTGATAATACAGAGTATTCTCAAGATCTTGCAGGGAAACGCAATTTCGGACGCACTTGCCGCTTAGTGGCAATGAAGATACAGCGCTTATGTTCATTGGAGCGTTTTTAAATTCAGTTTTTGTTGCATGGTCTACATTGTAGAGGTTCGCTGAACTTTAAGAAAACAAACAATTCATTACTGATAGAAAGCTTTGTGTCTCGCTCTGTTTCGGGTCTTCTTACGCATTCTCTCGTTTTATCAAAGGTTGGATCACTGCTTGACTCCTCAAGGCCAGAATCGTCTCAAAGGCCGCCGAATAATAATATTTAATTAGCAAAAATTTCCAGCTCAGTTTCTCTGCATAGCAACTGTAAACAGCTGTAAACAACTAATGTGGTTTTCATCTAGGAACCTAACTCTTTCGATTGTTATTCATCCTTTAGAGCTACAAGTTTGTGCTTGTCACCATTAGATTTGAATGCACTGGAGACACCACAGACAAGTTTGCCTGATTTTTTTCGCCCGGGACCTCGGGTTGCGAGGTCCGATTTGAAACCCACTTTTGCTGTGTTCCTGAGAAAGATACCCTACTTCTTTAGACTCGGTAGCTTACATGAGTAATTTCAAACTCTCGGTGCAAACTAACGAAGTGCTCGAGAAGGCCTCAGTCACATCATGTCATAAAGAAAAGGATAAGGTCCTGCAATGTGGGCCACAGTCTCCAGAGAGGAAACTACCCCTTACTGCGAGGGAAGACCAACACTTCTATGAAAATTGATGTGAGGCTATATAAAGAAAAATGTAACACATTGGCTGCAACCATTGCTGTGATTAACTTCATCAACTATCAGGAACAGCAACACATACTACATTTGTCTCTTCCAAAAAAAAAAAGGAAACAAAAATAGAGATACCTATAAAAATGATTAAGCGAACAATCCAGAAGAAAAAGCGGCTTCAATTGCAATGAAGTCATGCATGCGTTCACATTTTTCAGGAAATATTTAGTTCTTATTAACCGATCGGGAGGTCTGTATGGGAGATTCTCCCATATAGACCGACCTAGCTTGGTTGATAAAATGTTTATTATATAGCATTGTGGTCCGTGGGTGCTCCAATATATATATATTTCAAGTAAATATTAAGACAAATCTCATCAGAGAAAGTAATCGTTTCCTTTCTCTGCTCAACATCGATGATTTCAGTAAATTTAGATTAGTGTTATAAAAAAAAAATTCATTTTGTAACAACGTCCTGGTCACAAAGCAATAGCACAACAATTTTCGACCGTAAATTGCAATTACATTTTTCCTCAAAATATAGCCTCTGAGTAGTATTAGAATCTCTTTAACAGCACTAAATAACATGGATGGTGCTAAGGCTCCTAATTCACAATTTCATAGCAAGAGCCAAAAATTAAGGCATTCTTTTCATATGTACAGTGGGTGAACTTCTCGCATTTTCATCGCTTTGGAATTCAAACCATCGCTTTCAAATATTTATGACCTTTTTTATGAGCCAAACTTTCTGCTTCCGTGTTTTCTAATAACCATCCTCACTAGGTTTCTTTTTCTCCTGTTTGGTTTGGGTCCCCTGATGATAACATCCCATGTTTTTCTTACAGCAAATGATACAGCTTGTTATGTTAAATATTAACTTGAAATACCATCATTATGTAAACGATTTGTATAGAATCTTAGATTAATTCTGTATAGTATTTGGTCACGAATGAGTTACCACTGAACAGATTCTTTTATTTTCTGTTTATCAATGCGCTAGTTGTTTTGTCGGAAAATTAAGCTCAATTTTCATTATCTGCCTTTGGCCTCCAACGGGGATCAAATTAGATGCATTGAGAGGTCTACATTGAGGGATAATGTACACGAAGCTGAAAAGGCCAATAAAGAATATACCTGTATATAACTGATCTGGCGAAGAATTCGAGCCGTTAGAATTGCAGTAAGTTACAGTCGGCTAGGTTAGATTATGTGTACCTTTGTGTACCACAACACACGAGACAACGTTACATGTAAATTGTATGGAGACCTACAATGAGAGTTTAAAAACGTTTCTTCGCGACAAATTTATCATTTGACCTCAGAAAAATGAAGCATTTTCATTTAAGGTATTGCATGCTGTTTTTACTTTGTTTCGGAATTCTAAGCTATCTAATATAAATATAACTTCTTCGTCGCTCAGGAGCCTATATGTCGGCTTCCGTGTTTTTATTTATGGACTGTCTATATAACTTTCTACACTACAATTGAATTTGAAGGGATTTCCCTTCATGACACTCACCAATGATCAATACCAGCGCAAATTATTTCACTTTGTACAATGAAAATGCATCAGATTACTAAGACAGCTTAATAAGGGCCAATACAAGTTGCTTGATATTTGCAACCCTCTGATACCCACGATCGACTCTATACAAAGCAACCGGAAGATCACTGTCGAGTTGTTTTTACAAAATTACATCTGTCGAAAACCGGTCTAACTGGAATTAAATAATATGTCCACTGACCCCACCTCAAAACCTACCTCGTTACATAAGACATAAATTTAAGAAAAGTTTGCTCATGTTCTCCATATAATAGTTTCCGTTTAACCATATTCTAATCTTCAGGAGATCTTTTAGATCTAATTGCCCCCTACTAGATGTGTTCAAGGGCTGTAATTTTATGGTCGTTTCACTCGGCCGTTCTCGCGGTCTGACTCAACAACAAGATAAAAAATTTGACAAAATAAACAGCTTATGAGTCAGTCTCATTAAGGGTCAAAGTCTGGGGTCCACGCGCTCTTTTATTTATGCAAGATGAAAAAACACTCTGCAACACGTGAACGAGATAATACACAACGCATAATGTAATAAATTGCTATTCCGTGTGTTTTCATATATTTGCTCCTTCATTTGGCCATGGAATTGCTTGGGAGGCACTCCGATTTCTTCGTTTACCTGTATGTTGGATCCATCACAAAAATTTTTGTGAGCTGACAGAAAACGTTTTTCTTACTTAAAAACCAAAATGGTTAACATCAACAGAAAAGTCTACAGAACCTGGCTGCAACCTGATTGCAAATTTTAACGCGTGAGAAATCACTGGGCAACTGATTTTTCCGTGGGAATCCATTATTTCCTGTGAGTATCGTACCTTTTGTAATCATCACATCTATATCTCCCAAACTTATCTTTGCTGATACCCAGTGTCGTTGGACTGAAATTTTGTGAAAGTAAAAATTTCAGTTTGGATGCTACCTACTGAGTAAAAGTGCAGGTAGCTGCATCATTCAACGTTACGTAATAACATGCAATAACCACAGAGAAACACTCAATAGGGAAAATTGAAAGGCCTTTGTACTGGTACAACCAGACAAAAAGTCGTACATGGATCTTCAATGATGATTTTGGACAACTGGTGCTTTTGTCGTAATGATTAGCGACCTTGTATATTGCTGTATAGTTGTAACACCAAAACACGCATATTGTGAAAAACACAATGAGCCTAAACGCAACTCTAAGGAAACAATATCCTGATTGAAGTTGAGTGGAAAATCGAACGAACTTTGAGCAGTTCAATCCCATGATGCTCAGGCAGCTATTGATTGCACTTCTCGGACCGTCTGTTTCCATGGAGTTGACAATTTTAGATGAGACTCTGGTCTTTTCTTCTCGAATCACGACTTACAACTAGATGACGAGGATATTTAATACAACTAGACCTGAATCTCATGTTTTTTACAAAAATTTTGTTCTTACCAAGCGAGTATACAGGACATTCAGCAGTTAATAAAATAGAGTAATCTTACATCCTCAAGCGCATCGAGCTATGTATCTGCACAATAGGGAAAGACTGAGCCACTGTAATTTCTTTGGTAAAATTGCATTTCTCTGCAAAAATCGTAAAGTTGAAAAACGTATGCGTGCGTTCTTTTCCTAAATCCAGAAACAGATTCTTTAAAACATTTCTTTTCACTCTTCAGGCCAGGTAACCTCCGTGTATTCTGGTGAAAACTCTCAAAGTTCGTACATTATTTCGACATAGGTAGACAATCCATAACTATAGATTTTGTGTTAATCTTAAGTCACCACAGAAGTTAGAGCAAGTGGCAAATTTTATACAAACGACTACCGTTTTCATTCTGCTAATATAAACCGAATTTAAGAGAATTCATTTGAATAACAAAAACGATGTGGCTCGTGAAAACATGTGTCATAGATTAAATGCACTGCACTGTGTTGATATATCACCTGGTTGGCTCAGGCGAGGTGCAAGCGTTAAATATTACGAGCTCCGAAGGCTGTGAAAAATGTTTAGGATCTTATTTGCCATTAAAATATGGCACTAGAATATAGAAGCTACAAAATTGCTTACAAAAGCCTTACATCGTGGTATTTTCATGATTAACATCAAAACTGAGTGTCTTTGTCATCAACAACAGCGGGATTATGAACGCCGCCGTCCTGATTTGATTTGACTTCCACAGCCTGGGGAACGCCATTCGTTTGGTAAAACGGGAAGTTCTGTCGAGGCGCTGATGGAGATTCTGACCACCCATGTCCATAGCTGGACAGTGGGTATGCTGGCTCACCATGTTTAGGAATGTCAAGACCTAAGGAAAGCAAAAGGAATCTTAAATTTTCACTGAAAGTGATAGTTTCATGCTGAAGAATCATTTTGATCAAAGTTGTTAACTCGATATACATTCAAATACTAATCTACATGGGTAACATGGAAATATTCCCCTTAAATATCAAAACGTCTCAGCGGCATAACTTATCAAATTTATTCAAGACCTAGCCACCATTTTTCTATGGAATCTTTCCCTAACGTTAAAAGTACTGAAGGTATTTACCTTTCAACTCGATTTCTTCACTGACGCGAAGTTGTTTAAAGAGATGCAAAGCAAAGAATAAAATGATAGCCCATGCTGCAGACCAGGCCATTATGACAAGTACACCGAGTAAGTTCCAGCCAAACGCACGGAATGCAAGTTCGTTTCCTTTTACAAATATCCCAGATTCCTTATTAAAGATGGGGACAGATAGCACGCCCCACAGACCACCTCCAAGATGAACTGTTAGAAAAGAAATCACAACCCTTAAAAGGTCTGTTTTGCTTGCATTTGGATTGCTGCAGCTATGAAACAATATCTGTTTACTCAATGCATTCTTCAAAAGGAGCTGACTGTTCGGGAAAAGCACTTTCCCTAACTCTCTATCAGCTACTATAAAGAACATGAGTCTTTTCTTCTGCCCTGATGGCAGGCTAACCTCCAGTAATCGCTACATCCATGCTTCTGTAAAATCACCTTATAGGCTACGGTTGTTAAAACTGATTGTTGATACAATCACTTCTTCTGCTGTTGATCATACAGTTTTTGCTATCACGGCAGCCCATAACAATAGCTATCACAACAACCAATGAATTTATAATGGCTACAACGTGAGAATGACATGTGAACTTTCCTGTGCTTATTGGTTGCTCACTTACCGGCCACAGCATCTAAGGGATCATCAACTTTTAGGCGCAGCATGGCAGTACTCCAAGCCACGTAAGCTAATCCTGCGATTACTCCAATGATCAAAGCAGCATAGGGATAGACTGCATTACAACCTGCGCACATGGCAACCTAAAAAAGCGAGAAAAGCTCTTAGAGGGTAACAAGTCCAGTTTAACAGTAGAGGAAATGACGCCTACAAACCTTATTCTGGACCACTTAATCGGGAGTGGGGCAAAACACCTCTACGTGTAGAACTGACCGAATATAATCCAAATCTGTTTTCCTTACCATTCCAGTAAGTCCACCATTAATGGTGAAAAGCAGACTCCAGTATTTATCTGCAAAACCCAGGCGTTTGACCACCATGGCAGTAAGAGCACCTGCGGCTCCTGAACAAGAGAAGAAGACCATATGCAGTTTATTTCACTATGGGTAATGGAGAGAAAAGAAAAGAAGTTATAGAAGATTAAGGGGAGTCTGGCTCACCTCCAATAATGGTGTTGACAATGGACAATGCTACAGCATCTGCATCGCCCTCATTTGCAATGGCTGCCTGGGAGCCACCATTAAATGCCAGGAAACCGAAAAACAGGATGAATCCTCCCAAAGCTGCTTTCTATAATATATCAAAGAAAGACTGACTACATCAATCAAATTCTGTTTAGAGGATAGAGAAAATAAAGTATGTCCCTAAGATTGACGAAGATGACAGTTCTCTTACCGGCACAGTATGGCCTGCAAGCAACACTGGTGCACCACCCTCAAATCGTCCGATCCTGGGCCCCACAATAGCTGCACCAACCAGGGCAACTGTACCACCAAGTGCATGAACTACCCCACTACCAGCAAAATCCTAAAATAATATTAAAAAAGTTGGTAAAGTTTGCTAGTCAGTGGAACTCTGTTTAACCCCTTTTGCAGATTCGGCACCAATTACGCTATGTTATGTTTTGGAGCACCAACTCTGTACTATGTTTCAACCAAATTCTGCCATCTCAATGAATGAACATTCTTCATTTCTTCAGATTTTCAGTAGCTTACCTGGTATGTTACAGACAAGGTTTCATTGCCGTTGTTGTACTCCGCACCCTTGTACAGCCAACCATTTTCATCCCAAGCCCAGTGAGTGACTACTGGGTATAAGAATCCTGCAGAAAAGAACATCATTTGCCTTAGCTGGATCTTTAACACTGCTTCTGAGAAGAAAGTTCCCTAGACAGCTAGCTTACCAAGAACTTCCTCCCAAATTGTTTTTTGAGCAGTCGATTTAAAAGTGTATATCCTTGTTGTCTAACGAACCTTACGACCTGAAAACGACGACTCTTTTACTCACCGGTTAAAAACCAAGAGTAAACAAGATAGGCTTTAAATTCAGTTCTCTCTGCCATGGCACCACTGACAATCGTTGCTGCTGTGGCCGCGAAAACGAAATGGAAAAACCAATGAGAGTATTTCTCAGCTGGTAAATTTGCCAGCGCGAAGTAATCGTGTCCAATAAAGCCATTGCTTTCTCCTCCAAACGCAAACGAGTAACCAAACAACCAGTAAGCCACTGCACCAATAACTGTTTGAAGTAAACCAATATAAACAAAAAGGAATTAAATTGATAGCAATTGGACTTCATGTGCCGAGAAATCGTTTTTTTTGTTTGTTTTTATGCTCTATATCGCGAAACTGTTTCCCAAAGAAGTATTGTATTCTCACAGTGTACAGCTCTCTCAGTTAATTTCTTATATCATTAATTCTCTGAAGCTACTTACAACTTCAGGAAATTAATCAGTACTCACACACGTCCAGAACATTCTTGATTAGGATGTTTGTTGTGTTCTTTGATCTCACTGATCCAGCCTCAAGAAATGCAAATCCTGCCTGCATAACTGCAATAATCACAAATTGAATTCAATTGAGGGATGATTATTACCTATTGTTGGGAATATGCTTTTGCAAGGGCTAGTGCGGATCCAGGGGTGGTTCGGGTGGTTCGGTCGAACCCCCTAAATTTTCCCTCAGAACACTGGAAACTTTCCGAAGACCTAATTTTCAAAATCTAGAACTCCTCAGAAAGGGAACGATTCTCCGAACCCCCCTTGAATAAATCCTGGATCCGTCCCAGAATGGAGAAGTAGAAACAGCTTTTTCGTCCTGCAACTATAAACGACAATCGTGGGGAAAAAAAGGGACACTAGGATGAACATGATCAGGCGTAAAGCAGCGGAGAGAGAATGCTTTTTTGTTAAGAAGTGTAAATAGCGGTTTTGAATAAAGTTAGGGATCGAAGTGAAAAACCAGAGGCCTCATAAAATTGATGTCTGCTTTGAGTTACTTTCTAGATCTTTCGGCTAAATTCATCGCGAAACTACTGATCTGGAACATTGAGATTCTGAAAACGCCGGTTCCCTCTGTGAATGGTGACCTTGCAACACATAGTTCCTTGACAGCCAGGGAAAGGTACATTGTGTTTGTGGTCTATCTATTATCATGTATTATCGTGATTCTAGAACCTTCCTTATCGCATGCAGCAGGCAGGCCAAACGATATGATATTAAATTCAAATGAACAGAGGTCTCTTTATTCGGCACATCGTTAAAGAGCAAAAACTCGCATTTTTTTTTTCAAAGAAAGCGATCATAGATTTTTCCTTATGTTTTCAGCCGATATTTTTTTTGTATATACCTTTTTTTTCGATATGTTTTTCATCCATTTTAATGTCAATTTGTCGTTTTAGCTCAGTGCATTTTCAATAAACACTTAAGACTTTTGCTGTTTTCAATCGTTAAACAAAAGCATTGCTACGGACCGTGATTATGTTCAAGGTCATGATTCGTAAAACATAAATGAAAAGGTATTAATTTTGAATGCCAAAACATCAACAGACTTAAAGATAGTATGCGAGTTAACAAATTGGAAATGTTTTCCAATATCCGTATGCTGATACTTTTTCTTTTTTACTGATACATTCCCCAGTATGCTGAAAAGAAATCTGGTGTAGTGGAGTAAAAGACTTGTGTAGCAAGCAGACTTTCATCTCTTCATTGGATATCGGCTTTTAGTGATGAGAAACATTTGTTAGCGAAGTTAAATTATTGACATACCAATCATTTATTTCTTTTTATGATTCTATTAATAGGAAAAATTGAATCAAACCTGGACCTCAATTTACCCACTGTTTTTTCGAACTTGCTCTCAAAAATGGCTATCCTAACACAATGCAAGTTTTCTAACGGTTTTGATACCTAGGATATTTTTGGTTGCCTCAGTTTCTCATGGATACTCTAAACAAAGTCGAAAAGATAACTTCTAAAGTTGAAGCAAACCAGACTAATGAAAATTGTGCTTAGTGAAGAAAACTTTCATTTTGTGCCTAATTAACAAACAGTAGAGGGCAAAGTGAAGGAGTAACAAAAACACAATAATGGAATCAGACAGGTGGCATTTTTATAATTTCTGGTTGGAACAATCAGTGTTTTGTAACTTAAACTTTTCAAAACCGTATATAATTCCATTAGTGTACGGAGCAAATTACGACGTTAACTTCGAAGGAGCTTCATGAGATAAGGAGAGTTCAAACGTCCATCAAGAAATCAGAAATGTTAATTGTTTTTAATCAAGATTTGAAAATTGAAACAAATATAAATTGATGAAAAAGGCAGATGTACTCTGGTGCACATTCATTCATTCCTGAAAAGGTTTTGCCATTGGTACTCTCAACAACAATTCAATAAGTACTGTTATATTCTAATGTTCCACTGTTAAAGCTAACAGTTTTAAGATTTGCAGACAGGTGTTCACTTTCAGTGATGACAAACAATTAAATATGCAGGTTAAATATACTTTACCAAATATTCGACCACATTTATTTAAGGCGCTAACTCAGTAAAATTATCAACAGAACTTTCATTTGAAATGAGAAAACTATAACAGAGAATTAATAACTATATTGACATTGATTGATCTCCAATAATGCAATCATCAAGGGAAGAAGTAATTCTGGTTTGTAAGTAGTTGAGCTCATACAAAGTTTCTTGTTTTGTCTGCTTATTTTAATTCACTGCTTTAATTTTTAAGATACTATTTTTGTGCATAAAAATTCAAGGAATTCTTTTTTAAAAATTCATTTTAGTCCGGAATTTCGCCTGACATTCTTTGTAACTTAATTGGTTGAAAGCAACATTTATTTCGAACGTATTTCGTTAAATCCAAAGAATGTGCGATTGTAAACTTGCAACCATACTGTCTATGCAAATAAGTAGTAGTTTGGATTCGTTAGCGAATAAAATCCTAACAATTTAGAATAATTTTCTATTAATTGTGTGATAATTCTTTATGACCACAATGGTTTTTTTACTTAAACTCTGGATTGAAGCATCACGTTTGAGATCTTGAAAAGACAAGTTTGAAATAACTTCGTCACAGGCCCTCGTTATGTTTGTTGTTCATCGGTTGCTTCTCGATGCAGACCTTTGCACAGTTTTATTTATCTTTTGACAAGTTAGCACCGAGTTAGATACGCCGATATTGCTTGAAAGAGCTCCGTAAATTGATCAAAATTGCCAAGTTTGATAGTGACATGAAACCTAACGAGGACATGGCTCCATGAGTCGCGACATTTATCTGGTTGAGAGGCAAACTTAATTGCCCTACACCGTCCTACATTCTTCTGTAAAATGTTTTGAGCTTCAATCTACGCGGTTTTACGAATTTCATTACACTTGAGCTAACTCGTCCAAGCATGATATGTAAATTCTGAGAAAACAGCGAACGAGTATGTTGTTCTACATGATTAATACTCTAGTGTATGTCTGCTAGCGAAGAGAAATCGTTGGTACATTAGTCAGAGATAACTTCTGCAGCATCAAGTTGTTGGCAACATTCATCTCTAAATACTAAGTCAAGATCTCGTTACACACGTTCTTCTCATTCTTTAGAAGTATGTTTTGATGCGCGCGGAAGTCATTACTCAAACTGTAAGCGGTCAGTTTCTTTCCCTCCCTTGATGGTGGAATCGAGTTTAATTGCATACCTAGATTCGAGTTTCTAAAACTTTCACATACTTTTCGCACAATACACAGGGTATCAGCAAAAAAGAGAAAAAAAAAAGAAAAACGGAAATAAACTGACGGTGCTGTCTGAAATAATATACTCACAAAATATTAGGCATCCCATGATAACCAAAAAGAACTGATCAAGGTTTCCGCGCAAATTGGCAATGACTGCGGTAACGTTAGCCATTTTAAGTTGTGTTAGTAAGACTCAGTGTTGTTACAGGCGCTGGAGCCAGTCAAACATTAAATATTAATACAGTGCCTCCCAAGCAGCTGTTCGTCGCTAACTAGCGGGTGATTAGTTAACAGGAACAAGCCAAGGTGATGTATTCATTACATAACAAAGAATTTATTGCTGTCTGAGGCCGTTGCCCTCGTGATAACATTTGTCTTCACGACACGGATGAATAACAACTGCGCGTGAAGTTTCGCTGTAACAACCGACCTTTAGCCCCCGTTGACAAATAATTTATTCAGTATCACTTGTGAACAGAGCTTCAGATAGCGCATTTCTTGATAATTATTATTTTGGTAGCATTAAGTGTGTCTTTTCATGGAGCGCTCCATGGCGACGGAACTCACGTCAAGTTTTGTGAGGGAGATGTGGAACTCTTTGTGTATGTGTTTAAAATAAATCTCACAGATTTGTTATTGACGTTTGGATGGTGTTTCTGTTTCCACGGTGACGTGGATGACTGATCACATACACCCCGTCAGTTTACCATCGGACCTTAACCTCACGGAATCGACCTCCTCGCTTTTAGACTAATAACTACAACAACTTTTACTGTTCTTCACTCGATGAGTAATCTGTCTTGTCACATTGCATTAAACAACCCAATCATGCGTTTAAAGAGCCTGACGTCTTCTCATGGCTCTACCAGCCTGTATCACGCACATCAAGCAAGTCAGGAAAACAAACGAAAAACAATGAAGGATATTTTTGCACGTGAACAGAAGAGGGTTAGCGGTAATGCCACGAGTTTCGGATGATTAAAGCCAACCAAGCCAAACGACAACGTGACTCGGCATGTGAGGTGTCTCCAATATATGTAAAAGTCCCCAAAATCTGTTATGTGTAAAATGCTTATTGGGAAAAAGACAGCAGGCTATAAACACTAGGACTCTACTTCATGATACTTGGAAACGCGGGGTATATATATCTTATTAACCAAGCGCGAGGGCCGGACTGGGAGAATATCGGTCCGAGGTCTTGACAGTACGGACCGAGCGCAGCGAGGTCCGTACAAAAAAGACCTAGGGCCGATATTCTTCCAGTACGGTCCCGAGCAAGCTTGGTTAATAAGAGATTTATTATGCGACTGAAGTTCAAAGGGACAGAAGTGCGGTATCATTCGAGACCATTCGGGACAGTGCCCGGTCCAATACGGAGAGAATATTGACCGGCAATAGAGCATTTTGATTGGTTGATTTTAGTTATTGGCCCTCTGACTGCCCGAGTCGTGTAATAAAATGAATTAATAGCATTCAAAAATTGCGGAGTTACGCAAGGAAAATATAAAATATGTCCCTTTCTCAGATGCGTGTAGTCCTCTCCTTTTCTTACGTTCCCTTACTACGATGTTGTCTAAGTTCAATCACCTCATATTGACTGACTTTCCCCCTAACTGTACACACCGCATCCCATGCGAGTTCATCCAAATGAATTTATTACATATGGTGATTTTCTAGATATTGCAATACTTACCAATTACACCCTGAGTTTTTTTGACGTTTTCACTCTTGTTGGTTCCTAGAGAAGTTTTGCATGTTTCTTGTTCGCTTGTATGTTTCTTGAGCGCTTGCTCTTTTTAATCCGCTCGGAAGTCTTCCTTCAGCGGAAATATTCTGGGGTGATCTGTTACCTTCTCCTCCTTCCTCTCGTCTCCAGTCCCCCCCGATACCTGTCACGACAATTCTTACTGAGTTAGTGAGAGAAGTGTGATCAACTACGCAGGTTAAATTACGTTGAACGATGGAAAAAAGCCTGGTAGCGAGCAGATAAAACTCTATTGAAGCGACCTCCAGTGAGCAGGCACTAGCAAATATATTTGCTTTTTCTGTTGTTTTCACGCACTGCTGTGGTGGTGTTACATGTTAGGTACGTAATTCAGACGAGAGTCTGGTTTTCTCTCTAATTTACCCTTTGCTTGCAAAGTATGTTGTGGGCTCTCCAGCTGCAAAAATGCCTATTTCCCTACCTTCTATGTAAAGCAATGTCAATTTTAAAATGTATGGGAAAAATTTTCTGATATCACTTACTAAAAAGTAACAGTAACAAATCAAACAGTATCCCATTACCCACTCTTCCCTGGTTGGCTTGAATTTTCTTATGACCAGAATTTCCACTCTTCCTGAGCAGGATAAATTTTTATCACAGATTATCCCCCTCCCAGCCTTTCTACCGATTTGACTAGCAGCACACTAGTACTGGTACTTAATCATACACCTAGGTTGGGAAGAAAGAGCTACTGTGAGAGAAAATATGTCTGTCAACGATCACAACAAAATGACAAGGCCAGGTTTTGCGGTCTAGACTGAATTAGGAAAGACACCAGCATCATTTCCCTTTCTTGATCAATTGGCGATATATGCATTTTGAACAGATATCATGGGTGCTTAGCATTTGGCCAAAAAATTCGGAAATTTCGGTTTGAAGTCAAATGTTAAGGTAATTTTCCGGAAATTCCTTCGGAAATTGTGGAGTACCTTCAGAGGCACTCCTCTTTTTCCATTCGGAACGGAAGGTCATAAAATTCCTTTTCCAGGCCTTTCCGCTTGGGTTGCCTTGGGTTGGAGCGGGACGAAACGCCTGATGGATAAATGGTAAGCTCAATCTCATCCGGTTGGTCCATGAATTCGGAAACTCCCTTACCTTTATGCCACGGTTGCACCAATCGGATTTTTCTTACAAATGGTAAGCACCCCATATTCCCGAATCGTAATTTGTACTTTCCGTTCAGCGCGTGTAGCAAGTCATTACCCGAGTAACACTGGGAACAAGTTTCAAATAAAACATGGCGGCAGAATATTGATCCCTTGTAGCAATGATGATGACCGGCTAATTATAACAGTTACTGAGAGAAAAGACGGCAACTTGATTAACACTTACCTTCAAGATCACGTTAGCTCCCGTTTTGGGGAGAAAATTTTGATTACAAGGGCCTTGCAACAACGAAATAGTGTCTAAACGCTACATCTAAGTCAACTTCTAGAGGTTAGCAATATAAGTTACTTCGAAATCTTCTTGATGAACGTGTTGATTTTAAAACATTTATGTGAGTTGCTTGTTAAGCCTGTGACATCGACTTCTCCCCTGGTAGAAGATCTCACCTAAACAATAGGACCACGAATTTTAGTTCGACATTACAATAGTGGTGAAATATTTTTAGGATTAATTCGAATATATCCATAAAGAAGAGCGAAAGTTGGGTGACGATATAATTATCTCCAATTTTTATCAATAATAATTTTTGGTGTTTCTATGGTAGTCAACTGGCAAGGAATTTCAGAATTAGACTTTGATGTCATCTTTTGGATATGCATTTCTTACTCCCAATATGAATATGGTACAACCACTAACAAAACTGTAGGGCTGGATACATATATATGGAAGATAATTATAGTAGAGAAGAAGTTCCTTCGAGAAGAAATCCAGAGTAATTTGTTCTGGCCACTTACATCTAGATCAGTTTAAAATGTCAACACCCCCTCCCTTCCCCCCTTGGCATTTGAACTTTTGAAGATTGGTTTGTTCAAATTCCACCTCCCAGGTCCAAAATTGTGTTGTAATGCCCCCACACAACATTTGCATAATCAGCAAAAAAATCAATCACCATGACTTTCTATTCATTGACCAAGATAAAAGCTAAACCTTGTAGACCTTTTCTTGTGAGCCATTCCCATTCAAAAATGATTTCTTAACCTCAAAATACCACACTAAATGATAGAACATGTGTGTTTTATGACAGAGAGACTTGTTTCTTTTGGTTTGACGTGCCTTTTCTAAATGTAACTTGGTGTAGTAGACAATGAAAAGACACACAAAGACATTGCCTGAGTACTTATGGCTGCTGCAGGTCAGATAGTGGGCTTAGTCCCTGTGGGTGGAGGAGGGTTGGACACAGCAGGGGAGAAGGAGAACACGCCATATAGTACTTTACCCTTTAAGTCCCAAGGTCTTATGGTTAAAATTCTCCCCTTTAGCTGCCACACATTTCTTTGAAATTTAGAAACGAGAATTTGGTGTTAAATCAAGATAACTTCTACCTGATAGGTTTGTGTTCTTATAACTTGTTTAGTGGATGATGTATGGATATTATATGATCGATGTATTAAAAAGTTCACATAACTTCCACTTTTGGGAGTAGAAGGGTATAACTTTAGTCAATGCAGTCTAATTTTTGTAATGTATTCTGGGTCTAATATCATGCAGTGTTCTTTCTTTTTCTCAGTCTCTCCCGGGATATTAAAGAGGAACAGAGTGTAGGCAAATCACTGCACGAGAAAAGGTGTTAAAATTTAGAGAGAATTTGAAGACAGAATGGAAAAAACTGAATTTGGAAACAAAAAGGAACCAAAAACAACACATCCTGTCAGGGATGGGTTGTACTTCTGAGGGGAAAGTGTTGCAGAAGCTAGAAGGAGGCGTACAGATGGTGAGTTTTCAGTTAAAAGCAGAACTCTTTCCAAAGGCTCATCAACAACTTTGAATTTTTAGCCCACAAAGAAAACATCCAGTAAAATCCTTAGGTAATTTTTAGATTGCAATCCTTTTCAACTTGGCCCGGAGTAGCTGGGTTTCGTTTTATTGATTGATATTGTAATACTATAATTGTAAATGTTTGACCAGGTGGTTGGGAAAGAAACACAAACACAATTCACAGACAATTCAGTGAGAAGAACTCATTAGTAGTAGTATTTTTTGGTAGGATTGCTATTCAAACACACAGGCTATACACATTTTTGGTTTTAACTTTGTTCTCGTAATAGAAGATTTTCATGAAAAGCCTGAGGGTGGAGCAGAGCGTCAGTTGGACGATGATGGTGTCTATGAAAGTGAGGGAAGTGTTGAATTTTCAAAGGATCGCATGACAACAAGGGCGTTCCTTGTTGTAGCACTGCTTCTTGTATTTGCGGTTTTTGGAGCTGGGATATTCTTCTATGGTCAGCTAGAAAGCATTGCTGATAACGGCCATGAAGAGGTGGCCCGCACAAAGACTCTAACAGACAAACCTCCTGAGCGAGGTTCAGGAGCCCGTGGTAAGTTGGGTCGTTTTTTGTCACTTTTCGATCGATTGGAGTAAAACCAAAACTATCGTTATTACATCAGCCAATGAGAACAAAAATTAAAACACCAAGGAAGTGGCTAGTGAGAGCACTATAAAGATAATCTGCTTGAAGGGCGGGAATTTACTGATGACCGAGTGGACGAAGATTTTTGATTGTTTAAAGGGCAGAATGCCTTATGGGCCTGAGGCCTGGTGACGTCAGTAATTGCAATTGAATTAGGTAAAAGGGGGTTAATTTCCGAAAAACCCTAGTGCTGCATAGGCGAGGGAATTACAAGATGATTTGGTTTTTATAAAATGAGTTGATAATGTAAAGAGCCTCGAAGCTGATGTTTTGAGCGTCAGCCCTTCGTCAGCGAATGTATTGTTGTGAGGTAAATTGGAAGTCGTTATTTTGAGACTTTTTCAGTTAAGCTTTTTGTTTTGTTAAGCCTTGCCTTTTGCGCCTACGTGTTGTTTTGGTAGATGGTAGATTTATAGTTTTGAACTTTAGTGTGTACTTGAACTAGGCTCAGTTCGCGGATTTCCTTATTACCGTGTTAGACATTTTAATCGCTTGTTGTGGTTGAGAAAAATTAGTTTCATAGGTGGTCGTGTTTGTGTTGGTAAAGGTGACCTTGGGTTTTGCCCACACTGAAGATCCTGTTTGTGCGCGCGATTCTCGTGCATAGCTCGATCGTTAGCGTTTAATTGGTCCCTTGGTGCTCGCTAAGTACTTCGGAGCGAGCCACCCAATTTCCCCCCTTTGCAAAAAGAACGGATACACTATGGGAACTCTCATGGTCAGCTAACCTAAACATGTCTGCGATTTTTGTATTTAATACGTGGGCACTCCTATCGCTGGAATCAGGAATGACCTATTGCGATATATCATACCAGCGATATATCGCCTCAGCGAGTTTTCTTATGGCGAGAAATACCTGTCTACTATATCTCGTTCAAACGAAATAATTATAAGTTATATCAGATTCCTTCCCCCATTATGTTTTGGTTTATGTAAGTTGTTAATGTTATTTTAGTGCGTCAGCAAAACTAAGATTCAATGACAGTGTAGTCATACGATACACGTAATTATACCAAATGCAGCCAGTTTAATTTGGGGCTTTATTTGAAGTTCGTAGCAGCATTGTGAAAGAAGGCAGCCCACAAGGGAGATATTTATATTTAATATTCAACTAAAGACGTTATTTTATAAAACAAATTATTTTATTAAAGTATTGTTCACCACGCCTAATGGTAAAATTGGTAAATCACTGAGATCAGTTTAATTTGGGCGCTTTTCCTTTTCATTTTTTCGCAAATGCTGGCAGCATTTTGCGATGCTAACTTTGCACGTATTCCACACGAGGCTCGTTTCTTCAGTGCTGCGGCACTGGTCAGAATAGGCCTTGATCACCTCAGCTAAAAAAAACCAGAAAAACAGAAAAAAACATCAGAAAAACAAATTAATAATTGCCGCAGCGAGGGGGGAGGGGGGAGGGGCGGGGGAGAGGTGTTTCTTACTAGTACAACATACAAATCTTAAAAGCAAAACAAAACAAAACAACACAAAAACAATTTGGTTGTAGGACATTATATATTTCATCGAAGTAAAATAACAAACTTCATTAGCATACCATTATTAGCTGCAATCTTCGTTTGATCAAGGCCAGAGAATTCTTTCGTTTCCTGGAGAGTCGAGCGAAGTAACACCTCTTCAGAAAAGGGCTTTTCTAAAAGCCTCAGTGTCATTGCTGAAGGCTTTGATGCCGCAAATGCATAGTCGTAATCTTCACAAGACAACCGCACGCCTTCAAATCCACCAACCGTGACGTGACCTAGCCTCTCCAGGTCTAATGTTGGCGTCATCTGACATATCTCTGTCGGATACTGAGGGAAACAGTTCGCAGGCCGGCTAATCGGTGCCATTATGCCATCGAATATGCACACTTTAGTAGCTCCCTTTCGGCTAATTACTGTACATACGTGTACTTTGAGTGGATGTTTAGGCTTCGGTTTTCTTTTCAACGGCTCGTGGACCTTTCGGTAGTATGTACGTCTGTATTGTTCCAGCGAGACTGAGCATTCATCAGAGAAAATGCAGTTATGGAATGTATCACCGGAATCCAGGATTTGTTGTGCATACTCTAGTCTTTCACCTTATTAGCTACTCTTATAAGTTGACAGTAATGTTTGCGCTGCGACGTCTCTCCCTGTCTGGTTCGCGATCTTTGCACAACTGAGGAGTTCACAACAATTTCACGCTTGGCCAGTTGCTTTTGATTCTGACTACTTGTGTCCTCGTCGTCTATACGCATTTGCTTCTCAGTAAAAGCTCTCGCATCTGCTGGAAGCTTTGTTTGCACCCTCCCTGAGTACCGTTTTCACAAGTTGTCTTTTTCTCGCCCTCGCTGTTCTCGTTTGTTCGATAGTATCAAGATAAATATAGTCTTTCTAATAATTTGTTTTCTTTTG